ATAAGAGTGAAGATTGTTTGTCTGAATGCTTGAGAGTCAGCCGTAGGCCAGCAGGGGGCGAACTCAGGCATTGAAGATTTCTGGACTGTATTTATAAGGGGGACTTCCTGTTTTTAATTCAGTKTGTGTGGTTTTGAATTGTCAGCCGGTGGCAAAATAAACCTCACCCGCTCCAGAATTCTGGGTTGTATGACATTTTTTTCCTATCACAGATCATCTTATTTAACACTTGTGTTTTCATCCGATTTCAGCCGATATTAAACACGTATTTCTTACATATTGCATGCCTTTTCAAACAACTTGCTCATTTGGATAATAAGACAGTGGTTGGTTACCAGATAGATTATTTTGGATTCAAACAGTATCCTGCCCTTCGTAGTCACAATGGTTTTTAGAAATGATTCATTTTATGACACACTTAAATTATGCTTAATTTTAACCGTTCAGTCAGTCAACTAATTAAACTGCCACCACCTTGCTCAACAAAAACTTTGTGTAGAATGACAACTTTTTATTGTTATTATTATTATTATTATTATTAGCCAGTCAGTAAATGAAGGATTCAGTCAACAGGTTCATTCAACAAATGCAATGCATGCAGGTGTGCACTGTAATGCTGCCAACTTGGTGCTTTGTCTGTTTGGTGAAATGTTGCYAATAAATCGTACAAATTAGTAAATGCATAGTAAGAGGGGTAAATTGCTTAACTAAACAATGTAAGTGAGGTATGATTAAAGTAGGAGACAAAAAAACTTAACCGAGGAGCCTGCAGTCCAAGCTACATTTGAGTTATATTTTTCTGCACCCTTGTATTCACTTGTAATGTTACTTTTTTAATTAAAATGTATGTATTTTTACTTTGTTTTTCCTATTGCTAGCAACCACAAATATGGTCAATCATACAATTGCATGTGTCTGTCTGTTTGTCAGAAAAACATCTAATGAACCACGGAAGGAATTTTACCAAAACTCCCAGGCATAATCATTGGATGTGCATCTACAAATGATTATATTTTTTAAAAAAATCATCATTGTCAAGATGCCCCCACAGCTAATAAATTTTAGTAAACAAAAGAAGACTATGACAATTCTTACAAGACATTAAACTAAAGTTTTTGGATGTGCTGAGAGTCATCCCCAAATAAAAAGCTGCTCTTTTTTTAGATACATCTACTCGGGAAACGTGCCCATCTTTTTACAACTAAAGCCTTAAATACAGAAGTGAGCTGCACTTTATCAGAGATGTGAGGACATGCTTGGTTTACAACAGGATTTTGACTGGTATAAAATKTACTCTTAGATGCAGACATCAAGGAGGATTTTGAATGCTTGTGGACTTTGATAGGCAGTTTTGCTTGAGACAGTCTTACCCTGCTCTCCGTCAGTATTACAAATAAGACTAGAGCGTGTCTGATCTGCGGACATCTTCCAGTGGAACTGTCTTGTTAAAATTCCCCAATAAAACATGAACACATGGGAACTAAGAGTTCATGCTCTTTGTGCAAACATAAGAAAGAGTGTGCCAACATTCCTGTTCAGCTGCCTCGGGCAATCATAAAATGTTTCGTTGTTGCTGTTGTGTTTTATACAATTCAAAGAATTTGACTGAAAGCTTGTTTATTCCTTTGTTTCATTGCAGGGTTTAATTTCGAAAATACTCATAAAAACTGCTGGGATTATGTTTGATAGCTCAAAGCTGTTAGGTCGCAAGTTGTGTTGGTTTGACCAAATAAGTTGGTCAAAAAGTTTGACATAGTGGATGGGTCAGAACTGAGCCATGTCACTCTTCATAGTCTGCCCATTTTAAGTCAATAGTTGAACAAAAAGGCTGTATTGAATTCTTTTTTTAGGATGTAATAAATAAAGTCAAAATGGTGGAAAAACTTGTCAAAATCTATTCATAGTTTTATTGATAACTTTAGTTTGAACTAGATATTGAGTTTGACTTCCAAAATAATAACAATAATACAGATGCTGATAATGAAAATGTTGCCCTGTCATAAAAAAAATCCATAAAGCAGTGGACATTGAACATCTCCCAGCTTTCATCACCCCAGACACAGTGAGGTCATCATCCTCGTGAATCTTATGTCAGGACTGTTTCCTGTCTGCCTCCTGGCTGACAGATTGGGAACTGCCTGACAGTGTCTGGCTGGTTCACTGACTGGTCACTGGCTGCTGGCTGACCAGATGGCTGCTAACTGGCTGATGGYGGTTTGTCTGAATAGCAATGACTTCTACTTCCTGCTGCCAGACTGTGGTAGGCTGGAAGTTGACTGCTGGTACACTGCAGGCTACTTCTTGGCTGGCTGATATTAAATCAGTATGTGACCCTGAAAAACATGTCAAAATTTTCACAACTGACACTGTGAGCTTTTAGTGCCATTTTTTAAGTAAAATAAAATCCTTCAATGATGACCTAATTATGGGACACATATTTGGCAGCAACACATTTGTAGAGACATCAAACCCATTAGCATATCCCCAACATGTAGATGAATGTAGCTGGTAGTGGTGGGTGTAATGTGGCTTTTTGTTCTTTCTAAAGGAATGAGCTGTTACAAGATCATTATTAGCACTCCCAACATGATTGTCCTCTAACTAATACCCACATAAATGTCATTGCTTTCACAATGTCTTCAATAAACAGGAAGTTAATYGTTTCCTAATGTTGTACCTGTGGAGATGCAGATGTGCATGACTGTCCATCTTTAGCATCTATTCCTGTTAATTTATTGCATTTTTTTCTTTTTCTTTTCAAATACTAATGTTCTCAATTTAGCTATGATAGATGATGGTACATTACTGCAGTAGTTTCATATAAAAAGGTGATTTTTTTTTTAATTTGCTCCAATGAACTTTGAAAAAACACCAGCATTTCCAGAGACTTGCTTCATGTAAACAGGGCCTACGGATTTTTTTTATTTTTTTTTTATTTTTATTTTTTTTTGCTGCCAGTCGTCTGCCCAACGGCATGGAATTATGCAGGTAATAAACATTGCTTACTCTCCATCCTCCACTACACCATCTCCTTTCTTTATCTTTAGTCAATGCAAGGCAAATCTTCTAGAMTAAGTGTGTCCACTCAGCTACTGTGGCATGGTGTGGTGGTTGTATAAGCTGCAACAAAATAATACATTGCAGAAGCACACTGAACAAACTAGTTCATTTATAMACAATAAAAGAGCACCTCATAAAAGACATACCAAATGGGCAGGAGGTTTCTGCACCACTCTGTGTACTTTGATWATTGACAATGTTGGTAGAAAAGCATTTTATTACCACAGCTCGTGTCAGAGGCAACTCTCTTTGGGAACTGCATGTTAAAACTTTGGCATATTTAGCTACTTGGTGCTGTTATTTTATTATTACTTTATTCCGTCAGACAGAACTGCTTTCTTCTTTAAGACGAATGAGTTCTACAGTCATAAAGCATTCTTTATTACGCACCACAAATCCTCAACCAGATTAAGATCAGTGCTTTGGCCAGCTCTATCTCAAGACATTTAAATTGTTTTCCTTAAATCATTCAAATGTTGTGTTAAAACTGGTGACAAGCATTTTAGATTAAATGGAGATTTTAAGTCAACTGTAGGAGTGTGTGTGTACATATTTTTGTTATCCGGTTGGGGCAATTTTCCCAGCACACTCAGCCTCGTGAAGACTCACTGTCCCTTGTGGGGACAAAAGCCCAGTCCCTGTGAGTTTAAAGGCTGGTTTTGGGTTGGGGGGGGGGGGGGGGGGGGGGGGTTAGGTTTTTAGGACTAAGGTGTGAATTGAGTTTAGGTTAGGTTTCAGGTAGTCAATGCAAAGTCCTCGTGAGGACAGAACAAACGTGTGTGTTGAGTCATGTGACCTTGTGATGGACTAGTGACTTCTTCGGGGCACCTCTCACATGTTGGGGAATGTCAAATTAAAAGTATAAAAGAAGCTTTTTATGTCAGCAATTAACTTTTTAACACATATAGAATTTTACAACAAAACAAACTAAAAGTCAATCCATTATTTTTACCCTTTTGTTCCTGTTTAGGGTCCCAGAAAAACGGTGGCTATCTCCAGTGGACATTAGACAAAAGATAAGCAGGTTGCCAGTTCATTTGAGGGCACATAGTGATAGACAATTCACACACAAGCTCAAACCTACTGAGAATGTAGACTTCCATAAAACAAAACAAAGAAAAAAATAAAAAACACAAAGCTTCTTGGAAATGGTAAAAAAAGAAAACCAATTAAATGTATATCTTTGCAATGCTGTTAAGCAAAGGTAATCTTAGATTTAAGCAAACAAACTAGAATAATGCCTAAGACAAGAAAAAAAAATGAGCCATAACAAAAACACATTTTTTGCATGGTTCCCATGATGTTGCCTTAGGTGACCAATACATATTTGTCATGTTTAACAGCTTTCTAGAACCTTTTTCATTAATCACCATCTATCACAAGTGTTGCCAAAAGCTCTAACTCACTTTCTGCCTTTTAAGAACCAATTACTCTTTGTCTTTCTCTATCAATACATCTGTTTGGTTCCTTTCACTCTGGAAAGAAAACAATTGATTTAACTTATATTGGTTGGGCAATATTAATCAACCAACTGACAAAGCATTAAATGTGCCCTTGTAAAGAAGAACAAACATGTTTCTGCATATAAACAGGAGTAGTTATGTGCAGAAACATATAATACAGCATGTTGAAAATTAGCTTATAAAACAACTGGACAAAGCACTTTCATTTCTAAATGCTTCTACACAGGGACTTCACTGAGGGCTCAAATGAAAGATGACCCCCTCAAAACCATATCCCACCATCCATATGTACTCACAGCATGAGTAAAATACAAAATAATAATAATCAACACTATGAATTGAAGCTGGGTTACATGCAGCAAATCCCCACCAACAAATAGCCAAAACACAAAAAAATAAATCCTCACTTTTTTCAAAGCATTACAGTCCACACAGCTTATAAAACCACCAGCAGTTAAAAGGGACTGTTTTTCTTACCTTTTGATGCATATTTTGTCCACTTTTTCTGACCAAGAGTGATCCAAAATGGCTGCTGGAAAGAAGGTATAATCCTTTTGACATTTCCCGGACACAAAAATCACTGTCTTGTCTTGAAGCACTCAAAACACTTCATAACAAATATATTTCCTCTTTAACAGCAAGTTTATTCCGCTAGCTGTCCAATAAAATAAAATAAAATAAAAACTATTACATTTTTGTTTTCCATGTCTTCTGTTGCCACCATTTGGGGGCAAAATAGCCTCCTCCTCATCGGCCCTTTCCCAATCATTGGCTACACACTCGCCCTATTCCTACAAACTACACTTGCTGTGAAGTACCATCGCAGCTGAACTGAGTCCCCTTGATGGCGCTGTATACACCCTCCCCTTTTTAGACAGGCTCTCCTCACACCACCGGAACAGGAAGCTGCCGTCACCATGGTAGACCAAAGAAAATATTTAATTAGGCCCACATTTTAGATATTTTTCAGATATGACTGTATTTGTAACGAACACAGTGTGATCACTTTTCAAAATAATTGCACTTTTAACGTTTTTTTAAATTAATTATTTATTTATTCTTTAAAATGTTTCCTTTCTTCTTTTTTAAATGTGGACCATTCTGTGTCTTTAATAAAGTTTGAATTAAACATGATTTATGTGAAATTATATTTGTTGGTGAGGTGTTTACTTAGTAAATATGTGTACAAAACATATGTGGAACTTATATTTATATGTCCCGTGCTCCATGCCGACCACTATTTGGTGCTGCACCTGATGCTCAAGTCTGCATCGGATGTAGACTCRCTGTGGAGGGCTTAATAAGCCACTCGCCCTCGTACCTAATTGGTTTCAGATGGGACTTCATTTGGCCAAGCCTCCGTGGGAACACGCAAACTGAGTGAGTAGGGACTAGGGCGAGTGTGTAGCCTCCAATTGGGAAAGGGCTCTCCTCCTCCTCCTCCTCCTCTTCCTCCTCCTCTTCCTCTTCCTTCTTCTTGTTCTTCTTCTTCTTGTTCTTCTTCTTCTTCTTCTTCTTCTTCTTCTTCTTCTTCTTCTTCTTCTTCTTCTTGGTTGACAAACAATGTTAAGGTGCAAAACTGTCACCTACTGATGTGGAGTGTGGACTGGATCGATAATCAATCAATCAATCAATCAATCAATCAATAAAAGTTTGTTTCAAATATTGTATTAAAGCTTGGTTTCTTTCAGATTTTCAAAATGACTGGCATGTCAGAAATGTCTATGTGTCATTTTCTGTCTACACAATAAAAATGAATAAAAATAAATAAATAAATAAATGAATAAGAAGTAACTTGATTTGCTACACAGCTGTGGTGTCAGAATGAAGCTCAGAGCTGATTGGCCGACTCTACCGTCAATCAATCATGTGTACCATAAGTGGGACATGATGAGCTTGGCACACATTTTGGGATTAACCTAGTTGGTCAATAAAGGTATCAATCAAAATAAGACAACCAGCTGAATCATTTCAACAGGCTACTATGCAAATCAACAAAAATGCAGGATCTAACAAGGTGGGAATGTATTGTAGGCGGTACATTGCAGGTTAACAGGTTAAATTCTTCAATTAAATATTCTGGTCTAAATCTGTAAATCTCCTGGTCTGTGCTTTACTTGTCCAGTAAAAATGCTTTCTTACACATGCAGTTCTGGTTATACTCAGAATGGAATACAGAACTCAAGAACATCCAAACAGTGTTGTCTTTTTCTCTGTTGTAATTCTTTTCTCACCCTGTCTTTGATTGTTGTATTTACTAAATATAGTTTTTATTTTATTTTTATTAGTTATGCCTCTGTGACTTTTATGTAACTGTGATTTCCACTTTCATATGTCAGCCAGCCAATTGTTATTTTCTTGTGCCCATTTGTTTTTGGTACAATTTGTAGTCTTACCCTTTTAATTTCTGTCCTTTTATGAAAACATCAGTGACCTCTTTCATTTATCATCTTAGAAGAACATGATTTTCTTTTAAATAGATGCACTAATTAGATTTGTGAAAACCCTATGAAACTTGTAAGGTTTTCATTGGGAGTAATTAATGATGCACTGCTGGTGTATTTCAAAGCATATTAAAAATGTAAAAAAATGAAAATAAATGCATGAATTTTACAGTTTATTTCAGTCTGAAGAAAGTCAGAGGCATTGGGTTTAATAAAGCCATAGCACAGAAGCTGATACTGGCTGTGTTTTTCATTTTGATGTGTTTTTCTCAAGATAACAAGTTAACTATCCCATTATCTCATGATAACCAAGCTAGTTTTATCTCAAGAAAACAAAGCTTGATTTTTTTTGAGATACTGAATCATTATCTTACCAAACTAGCTTAAATAAAAAAAATGAGCATATTGGATACAAAAATTAGTGTTTTTTATGTTACATCTAGTTTCATCATGAAGTATCACTGTTGTGATGCTTGGAGATGATTTGTACCAATGATGGGTTGATCAGTGACAAAAGTTCCTGCAACATATTTATTTTGAATAAGAAGTGAGGGGCTTGGCGTCTGATGAATGACTCCTTTTGTTTGTATATAATTTTGAAATAATTTCTAGTTTTCACAAGAAAATTAGTTTTTCTGAGTAATTTTTTTTATAATTTATGTAAAAGAAAAAAACAGTCTCCATTTTCTCAAGATAATAAGATAAAGAAGTTATTTTTGAGAAAATGGGATGAAAATAAAACAGTTTGTCCTCTGTTGGTTTTCATATCACCTGCTGTTTGTATCTTTATAATGGCTCATTTTTATTATAGTATTTATTTTGTTTGTTTTTTGGAAGGGTTTAGTCTTTAATTGCAAATTCTCACTCATTGGGTCTTTTTTAATGGTCATTTTTGTTACAGCCTACTGTCACTTTTAGAACGACATAGTTGTAGTAAGGCTGTCTTTGTTGATTTTTTTAAAATAACTTCTCCCTTTTAAATTGAATTTGAGCAAATTTGACTGTCTTAATGAAAATAAGAAAATTGTGGTCATGAGGGGCATCACTTTTACAGCAGCAACCGGAGGTGGCAGAAATGTATCCTGTCATAAAAATCAATAATGATAAGTAATGTTCTTCCCTGAAGACAATTCTACTTCTTTGTCAGCTTTTTCTACAAAATATCAATATCTTCTACATAACAGATACGATGTGAAAATAAAAAAGGTCCCCTGAAAGAATTATAGCATATAAAAGGCCAACTACTGCATGTATGAAAACAGGAAAGAGGAAAACACTAAAACTGTTTGTCTGTCATAATATTTCAAGCCTCAGACAAGCAGAGAAACATTGTTGTAACTGCTGCAATTAGATCAATAAAACAGAGAAATGTCTGCTTGTCGTCTCCTCGTGGGAAGTTATTTATCACGCGAGGCGCAGTACCACGAGCTATGMTGAAACATATGCTTCGCCGCACTTGATGAGTTGATGTTCAGCAGTTCACACTGAGCGGCCATCCAGCTCGTACTCGACACACAGAGGTCAAAGCCTTTACCGAAGTTTTCACTCTAGACAGAAACAAATAAAAGATTTGCATTTGGGAATTACAGCAGTCCCCCAAGTAAAACTGGATTTAATCTACTTGCTTTAGCGATAAAATAAATTAAACAAGGCAATAAATGACACAGTAAGCAACAGGAAGTGGTCACTGGGATAACATCTTCACACCAGCTGCACAGATTGTTTGTTTAACAGTGCTATGACAAAGACAATAAAATGTGTGGTTTTCTTTCTTGTTGCGCAGAGGGACTGATACAAGCAGCGATTTGGGCTTCAATCCCTCCTATCTTGATGTGACCACATTTCAGGTTATCTTTTGCAGCCTCTCTGTGGGTGTGTGTGAGTTTCATTATCAAAAACAATAGAATCTTTGTGTATTGTTCTTAATCACACGTACTCACAATGGTCACATCTGCCTTTTTTTTATTTTTACCTCTTTCACCCTTTTCTCAAATGGAAGATTCTCTGATAGCTGCACTTATTCTGTCTCCAGTTTATCTCATACAGACCAGTAAATATTACAATCACACAACATCTGAGCTCAGTTTCGACAGCTAATATTTTTTTTTTGAAATTCATCCACTTGGTCATCCTAATATCATGACTACACAGGGGGTTTGATTGTATCAGCCTAGCATGTCAATGTGTGTGAGAAAAAAAAGATAACCTCCGAGCTGCTTAGTCAGCCTCCATGCAGATGAGTTATCACTGAACATGAGAGTAGGAAGAAGAGGGAGAATATGGAGGAGGATAGGTTATAAAAGCAATGACACAAAGATAATTGTGTAGCTGAAATTTGCTGCAACTCCCACAAAGACTTAGAGCGTCTTAACAAAAGTATTCATCCCTCTCAGTAACCTTTTTCTTTTATTGCCCTGCAACAAAGAATACCAAGGAAATTACCCTCTTTTTAGTTGGACTTCAGTTTTGAAAGTAACCCTCTGATGAAACAAATTCTTAGACCCGTGTGAGCCACTTTATGGATGATATCTTTCTGAACACAAAGGAACTTAACTGTGGACTAAAAGATGATGCAATTCCAATACTCAGAAGTACACAAATGCTGCTGTTGTCTGCCCAGGTAAGCTGAAAAACAGCTCGTTGTTTTGTTCAGTTGTTTGGTCGATCTGTGATCTGCAGTTAGCATTTCAATTCAATTCAATTCAAATCAGTTCATTTATATAGCGCCAAGTCACAACATACATTGTCTCAGGGCATATTTCTAACTTATATTATGATCTATGTTTTTTAGTTGGCTTACACCACATTTTAGTAATAAATAGCTTAACAATGACGTGAGTGTATGTGAGGATGACTGGGCAATATCCCAAGCWGAAATGTTGTCTCTGTACTCGCTCTGGTTCTTCAGAAAACATACTTTCTGGTCCAACATGAGATCATTCAAGTAAGGTTCAATTGTATCTTTTGTTGCTGTTTTCTGAAACTGATATAGTGTTCAACAAGACTGACTGTAAATGCCATGAAGTTGTTGTGATAACGTGCAGAAATGGGTGTGATGGAATCGGTTGAAGGTTCTTAAAGGGACAGAGGCCAATTTCAAGGCATTTAGAAATGGCCATGATTCAATGTCAAATTCATTTTTGATTGAAGTTGGTGAAATGAAATGGAGGAAAATCGTGTTTTAAAGAAGCTAAAAACTATGTAAAACTAAAAATATTTTTAAAAAATTAAAAATGGCACATGCTGCTCAAAAACTCTAAACTTTGTGAAGTCTTTTCTTTTCTTTTCCTCTACAGCATYAAGTCTTGTCTAATTTTTTCCTCCGCACACTTGGTCCATCTAACCACTGGAACTTTTGCTCATTATTCATGACCAAACTACTTTTGTCCAAGAATCCCTTAATCAAATCAGAGATTCTCAGTTAGATTGAGGTCTGGGCTTCAACAGGG